AGACGCCGCACCGACCGACTCAAGAACAAGGAGGTCGGCCGCAGCAGCAGAGGCAACAGAGGGCAGAAGGGGGGAGGGGGAACACCCCTCAAAGATGGGGGTGCGCGGGTCACCACGAGAGGCCCCTACAGCGACTATGCTCTTCTCGGCCGCTAGGAGGGACTTCTCGAGGAGGTCAACAGTGAGAGTGGTGGGACAGACAGAGAGAAAGTGGTCCCTGACTACGCGAAGGGAGTCAGGAAGGCGAGTGACTATGTAGTAAAGAGTGATGTACATGGGGGGGGAATTCCTTCGCCTTCCCGCCACCTCTTTTCTCGCTTGTTTTATCATCTGATTTCCCTGATTTGACATCTGGCTTCCCTGTTTTAGCCGGCTTACCGCCTTTTCCGCTACTCCCTCCTGCCTCCCCGCGCTCCTGCTCCCGCAGCCACGCTTCGAACGCCGCGTCGTCGTCGTCGTCGTCAGTGTAGACGGGTAGCCGTGAGCTTCGATTCGACCGGTTGGAGAACCGGCGGGATTGCAAGTCCCGCATCGCTTACCGGTCGCTTTAGGGACTCCCGGATCGCACGCAATCAGGTTTGGCGATTTCGAAGCCTGAAAATCCGCCGCAATCGCCGCTTACGGATTGATTGCGCGCATAACACGCGAAGGTATCAGACAGTTGGACGGGAATGGAGGAGATTAAGGACTACTTCCGATTTATGATGGTCATAGTGGGTAGTGCTATGTGACGTCATAGGTCCAGATCTGAAATGTCATATCATCTTCCGCATCAGCTGGTCGATGTCGTTGCCAGCCTTCGGCAGGAGATGATGCGGGATCCGTCCTGTAAAAAGACGTGCGAGTTGTTAGCTGTCAAAGAAGCGCAGCTGCGGGAGTATCAGGCTACGAAGAAGGAAAAACTGCACCTGTCGTCGGGGCTAAGGTTGGAGCTGAAAGGAGAGGTGGCGTCACGGCATCTGACGGCGATGGTGCAGGCGAGGAAAGCGAGCACACTGATTGCTGAGCTGCAGACGGCGAAGGGGGTTGTCTCCGGATCTCAGGAGATCTTGCGAGCAGCATCGGACTTCTTCGCGGACATCTTCGGAAAAGACCGGTGCCAGTTGGAGGAGAAATGGCGTCCCTGTAAAGACAAGTTGCTGAGGTCATGGGAGGCAGAGGAGTTAGCAGCTGACTGGACGGAAGATGAAGTAAAAAAGGCATTCGGAGCGATGGCGGCGAACAAGTCTCCGGGAAAAGACGGACTGCCGAAGGAGCTGTTTGAAGCCCATTGGGATCTGCTGGGGAAGGGCTTCATGGCGCTTGCCAAGGATTTTGCATCATCTGCGGTGCTCTCAACGGAGGTGAAGGAGGCGGTCACGATCCTGCTTCACAAAATGGGGGATAAGGATCAGCTTAACAATTACAGGCCTATTACGCTGCTCAACTTTACCTATAGGGTTCTGGCTTGGGTCATGGCGGACAGAATGAAGAGGGTTCTGAGCAGGGTGATATCGCCGGAGCAGTACGGTTTCTTACCAGGAAGGCGGCTGACAGACGCGGTGGGACTCGTAGCAGACATTATTGACACGGCGCGGAATGACAATGAGGATTGGTTCCTCTTACTGGTGGACTTCAAGAAAGCCTTTGACTCAGTCTCGCGCGGGTATCTCTTCCGAACAATGAGGGCAATGGGGTTCCCGGATCGGTTTGTGAAGTGGGTGGAAGGCCTGCATGAGGGAACACAAACACGACTGTTAGTGAATGGCTGGATGGGGGAAGGAGTTGAGGTGGTTTCCGGAGTCAGGCAAGGCTGTCCGCTGGCACCATACCTGTTCCTCTGTGCGGTCGAGCCGTTGGCGCAAACGGTCCTTAAACGGAAGCTGGGGATCAGCAAGGTGAGTGAGAGTTTGGCGTATATCGGCTACGCGGATGACACCACGCTGGTTCTGGAAGGAAAGCAGCAGATCGTCAGGGCAGAGCAGATACTGGAGAAATTTGAGCTGACATCAGGGCTAGCGACGAACCGTGACAAATCGGTTATCTTACCGCTTGGAAATAACCTCGGCAGGACGACCGGTCGGACGCATAGTTTCCGCTGAGCGAAAGCGGATGAGGGGGAGAAGCTGCTTGGGGTGTGGGTCACTCCGTCGGCTAGCTGCCTGCCAACGTGGGAGAAAACTCCGGAGGATATCTCGGGGAAGGTTAAGAAGTGGCAGCCGAATTTTCTGCCGACAGCGGCCCGGACGGCGGTGGTAAACAGCTACACGATGCCGAAAGCAGAATTTCAAGCACAGGTTTATCCGCCTCCGGCAAAACTGTGGGGAACGATTTCTAAGACCTTTGAGAACTTCGTGTCTGGGAACAAGGCAACGGTGGACAAGTGTTTCAGACTGTGGAGTAAGGATTTACTATACACGCCAAGGAAGATGGGTGGAGTGGGGGTGCATGACCCGGAGATGATTCTGGCGTGTCTCACGGCGCGAAGAGTGGGTCTGCTGGCGCTGGAGACGAATCAGTTGAAAAGGCACCTCATGACGCGGGCAGCAGATCTACCCATGGGCATTGAATCATTCTTCGCCCATGAGAAGCTGTTAAAACACTGGGAGGGGAAGAGCGTCCGCTGGAAAGTGGCCTGTGAGAATTTTATGAAGACACCGCTGGGAGTTCTCCCGGTAGCAAGCACTCGGGAAGCAGTGGAGGCTGAACGCATTATCTTCAACAAGCACCTACTGCTGAAGGGTACTACGCCGATCGGTGGACAGCAAGACGCGAAGCCGCTGTGGGAAAAACGCCTGGGAGATCTACTCCATCTAGATGGCAGTGGCACAACTATGCTGAAAGATTCAGCTACTCTGGAAAGGGAACTTGGCGGAAAAGGCCCCGCTAAGCTGGCAAAGAAGGCGTTTGAGGCTGCGCCGCAGGAGTGGAAGGATTTGCTGCTCAGCGCGTCACTCCAGGGAACACAGGCTAGCGGAACCATCACGGCTGGGCCTCGGCGGAGGTACCTCCCGGCGGGGCGCAAGCTCACGGACTTCCCCATCTTTGAAAACGGGGGAATTGCGCCACTGAAGTGGCTGAAGTTGCTCTGGAAAGAAGGGCAGAAACCATCTGCGAAGCAGCTGCTGTGGAAGGGCAGGTGGAACGGGCATATCAACTGGAAAAGGACTATCGCCATCCAAGACTCTCTGGTTACACCCAGCAGGCCGAGGGATGTGCTACTGCGTATTCACAACTTGAACCTGCAAGTGGGAGAGCGGGTGGCCTTCTTAAGCAGCAGGCCGGTCTGCCCGTACTGTGGAGAGGTCGAAACCCTAGAACACTGCCTCTACAGCTGCCCCAAGATTCAAGTGGTGACCTCTGCGCTTCAAAAAACCCTCCGCATGCTCAACAGCTCACGTGAGGTGGCTTCTCTGGGTGACCTGTTATTCCGGAAGGCGGGGTCCAGCACAGCATTTCCGGAAGCCACGATCACATCAATCACGTTGCATCAGCAGTGGGTAAAGCGCTGTGATGCAGTTTTCAGAGGGAAGAACTTTCGGACGAAGAAGGTGTTGCGACGCATTGAGACAGCTTTCCGTCTTCATGCAAGGATATACACGAGGTCTAGGGAGGCACAGTGGAGGAAGTGTCAGGGTACGATGCAAGAGGAGAAGGTTCGCCGCACACGGGAGAAGGAGGACAAGTTACTGTTTCGGATCAGGGACAAAGCATGCAAGTCGTGGACGTGGACGAAGGCTTTCACAAATATCTGGTTAGCACCGAGGATAGCTCACCAACCTCCTTAGAAGCTGCACCTGGGATGGCCATGTGGCAATCCCTCATGCACAGTTACGACTGTTATTGCTTATGTATGCTTGCTCTTTCGGTGTACATATCAATTACCTTAAAAAAAAAAAAAGGAATGAAAGATGGCATGTGCAACAGCGGCGTAATACACGGCAATGAAAGGACGTTTGGATGTTCAAGTAGTGGAGCGATCGCTACTGCGCCAGAGCGACAAACAGGCGATGAGAGAGCGCGACGTACGACGCCAAGAGAGCGTCGGGACTGCGACGAGAGAGCGACGGTTGACGACGAGAAGGCGACTGTTGACGGTGAAAAAACGACAGTAGACTACGATAAAGCGATAAAAAATGATTCGCGGCGATTGCGGAGAGCCGCGACAGCAGAGGCGCGGGGGGGGGCAGCACGGGCGCGCAGGCGGGGCTCCCGGCGGCGGCAGCGGCGGACACAGCAGCGGTGGCGGCGGCGCCAAGCGGCGGTGAAAGCACGCGCCGGTCGCGCTCCGCCTGGATAATTTCCTCGCCGCCGCCCCCCCACCCGGCGGCGGCACCTCTTCCGCCGCCACCGCCGCAACGTGCGCGCCTCTACAGCCGCCTTCGCGTGAATACGCGGGAAAAGGATCTACAGACGGCCGCGAAATTATCCAGGCGGAGTGACGGGTGAGGGGGAGCGCAGATGGGAGTGACGGGCGGAGGACGCGGAGGGGGAGGAGAGGCGGAGCGGGGAGGGGAGGCGCGGAGAGGGAGCGGGAAGTGAGGATGCGGGCGTGCGTGGCTTGGGTTTGACGGGAAGGAGGCGAGGGATGGGGATGGGTTAAGGAGGAGCAGGAGGGCTGAGGAGGGGTGCAGGGGCAGGCGGAGGGGTGGGGAAGGGCGGGAGAGAGGGAAGCAGGGAGAGCGCGCACAAGGAGCTCAAGGGGGGCCGCAGAGGGGGACGCGGGGGAGCCCGGGGGAGGGGGAGAGTCAAGAGTAGGGTCAGATGGGGAGAGGCGAGGGAGGGGTCAGAGAAGGGTGGGATGGAGGGCAAGGGGGGAGGAGGGGAGGGCGGTGGAAGAGGAGGAAGGGGAGTGCTTGGAAGAGGCGAGGGAAGGGGGCCATTCAACGCCAGTGAGCAACGCCAGTGAGCAACGCCAGTGAGCAACGCCAGTGAGCAACGCCAGTGAGCAACGCCAGTGAGCAACGCCAGTGAGCAACGCCAGTGAGCAACGCCAGTGAGCAACGCCAGTGAGCAACGCCATGGTGGCGACGCACACCTGTCGCCTTGCCTTGGTGATTGCATCCACACCCCTCGCTGCACCCATATCCATCCTCACACCCATTTCCTCTCTCACACCCATTTCCTCTCTCACACCCATTTCCTCTCTCACACCCATTTCCTCTCTCACACCCATTTCCTCCCGCACACCCATTTCCTCTCTCACACTCATTTCCTCCCGCACACCCATTTCCTTCCTCACACCTATTTCCTCCCTCACACTCATTTCCTCCCCCACACCCATTTCCTCCCTCACACCCATTTCCTCTCTCACACTCATTTCCTCCCTCACACCCATTTCCCCCCTCATACTCATTTCCTCCCTCACACCCATTTCCCCCCTCATGCTATTTCCTCCCTCACACCCATCCCCTCCCAACCCTCCACCCCATGTGCGCCCTTCCCCGTTTGCCCTCCCCCCAGGTGCGCCCTCCAGGTGGTCACACCCGAGCTCAACGCGCTGCGCTGGTGCACACACTGCCCACCCACCCTTCTCCCCTGCATCCCCACCCCATGCCCTGCCCGCCCTCTCCCTCACCCCCACCCAGGAACGCCCACAGGTGGTCACCCCGAATCATAAACACTGCAGGCCCACTCCAAACCCTTTCTCCATCCCCATGAGAAAGACCACGATGCTCATTGCACTAGTGGCTCCAGTGCTGGTCCATACCCCCCTCTTCCCGTCTTCCAAGCAGGTGGTCACACCCGAGCTTAATACACTGGCGACCACACTGCTGGCAGAGCTGCTACAATCCCACTGCTGTTCCCCTTCCCCCCATCTCTCCCCCCTTACGCCATGCTCCCCCCTCCCCTTTCCAGGTACGCCCACCAGGTGGTCACACCGAGCTCAATGCACTGCTGGCAGGGCTGGGTTCCTCCCCACCCAGGCTTGAAGGAGGGGCTGGCACCCCTTTCCTCCTCCCCCCCACCCTTCCCTGCTGCACGGCTGTCGCTCCTTCCCACCCCCACCAGGTACGCCCACAAGGTGGTCACACCCGACCCGAGCTCAATACGCTACGCTGCTGGCGGAGCTGCTGCGATTCCAAGTCAGGGCGTTTCAGGACGACCCAATCAAGGTGAGCCCTGGCCCCTGCACCCCTTGCTGTCACGTCAAGCTGCCACCCTCTCACCCACTCACCTCACAGTTCCCACCCTACTTTGCTCCCCCACCTCCGCCTCATGCTGAGCCCTGTCGTTGCACCATTTGCACCACTCCACCACTCCCCCACCTCGCCCCATTGCATGCGTGCAGGGTTCTGACAGGGAAAGAGATCCCTTCTTCCCCCCCCACAGTAACCCTCCACCTTCCCCATTCCCCCTCCCACTTAGATCCCCCACGGACAGGGAACGATGAGGCGCTAGCCGGGCTGAAGGAGGTGGGGCAGGCGGGCAGTGCGAGGCTGAAAATAACTTTCCTTCCGCCCTCCCCCGCCCCCAACCCCTCCCCAAACCCCCTCCCATGTATTCGCCCCAAGCACAGGGAACGATGAGGCGCTCTGTGCTAGCGGGTTTGAAGGAGGTGGGGCAGGCTGTGTGGGGCTCAGGGAGGTGGGGCAGGCTGTGTGGGGCTCAGGGAGGTGGGGCAGGCTGTGTGGGGCTCAGGGAGGTGGGGCAGGCTGTGTGGGGCTCAGGGAGGTGGGGCAGGCTGTGTGGGGCTCAGGGAGGTGGGGCAGGCTGTGTGGGGCTCAGGGAGGTGGGGCAGGCTGTGTGGGGCTCAGGGAGGTGGGGCGCCGCACGCACGCAGCATCGCCAGTTTAAACCAACACAACACTCTCTCCTACATTCCTTTCATAATTCGCTGTTGTTTTTCCCCTTTTTCCATCCCCTCCCTCCCCCCAACTCTGCACCTGCGTCGCTTACACCCACATTTTTGCCCGCTGGGACTCGTCCTCCCACAGCACGGGCGCACTGTTCACCAAGGCACCACCGTTCCCTCCCCATAACCTCACTCCCACGCCCCTGCTTCCCCCACGCCAACGCCTGCCCCTGCTGTGGCGGTGCACTGCTCACCCACGCGCTGTCCTTTCCTCTCCCCTTCCCACCTCACCCAACCCTTCCCCCGTCATCCCACCAGCTCCGCACCGCACCTGCTTCTCCTGAAATCCTCAATCCTGCACCGATTTCCCGCTTCTGCAACATGAACGCACTGTTCGCGGGGAACCTGCAGGCTGCTGACGCTGGGCACCGCACCGCTCCCAAGTCCAAGATTGGCAGCTTGCCAAGGCTGCAAGGCACCTTCCCTTCAACACCCATTACCCTCATCCGTTCCCCTTCACCCCTCCCTCGCCACCTCCACCCCCCACCTGTTTACCCTTTCCCACCTCTCCCCTTCCACCTTCCCCCCCGCCCCTCCCCTCCCCAGCTGCGCACCTACTTCTCGCACACCGACTTCTGCCCCACCGACTCCCACCCCCACGGGGCGCGGGCGCACTGCTGGTGGGGAGGCTGCTGACACGGCGGAAGTGCACGAGAGGCTGCAGGCATAGCTGGGCTTCTGGGTTCCCCTTGGCCATTTCCAAAGGACGGACGAGCAGAGGGAGAAGGAGGTGCGTTGTGATGAGTTTGGGTAGCTGGGTTGGACTGTTTGATGTTCAAAACGCACAGGCTGGGCGGGGCTGCTGGGTGCCCCGTGGCAGTCTTCTTCCCCACGGTCACTGGCAGGTCAGTGGCTGCAAATACGCAGCAGGTTTCGTAAATGCGTGGCTGAATAAGGCTGTGCGGCTGTGTTTCTCATACAGCAAATGCGGAATTAAGCAAGAGTGCCATCCCCCGCCTCCCATCACTCCTCGTCTCTTCCCCACCAAATTTACCAGCCTCTCCTGCTGGCCGTATGTGTTTTCTCTCTCATCCACACATGCTTCTCTTCTTCTGACTCTCCTGCTTCCTCCTCAGCTTTCCAATCACCCATCAGGTATGCATACTGCAGCCAGTAGCGTCTTTTTCTTGCCGTCTCGCCCTCAACCGTCTCACCGGCCTCGCTTGCTGACCTTTCATGCTGCTCTCTTCCCTAATGGATTGACCCGCCACCACTGCCACCCCCTCTGGTGTCAATCTCGACCATGCCCTCCCCATGACCAAAGCCATATGGCGTTGGGGAGTCGCCCCACCAAGCCCTCCCCTGGCCGTTGTGGGAGTTGGTGAACTGAGCGCTCCCCCCCCTTACCCCTCTCTTTCCCGCTTCTCTGCGGTCACCTCCGTATGGCCACAGATAAATGGAGGTCGAGAGCGCACATGGGAAGGTAGGCGCAAAAGTTTGTGCTTCGCATGTCTGCTCACACATGCCAGTCTAGTTATCGTATGCCCGCTGTTATTGTGGCTTCGGGTGGATGTTTATTACAACGAATAGGGTGCAACTGTGTGCCGTCAACAACAGCAAGAGCATCTTGTGAGAACTGTCACTAGTAGAAAGGTGTAGCTTGGTTCACATGCTTTCGACTGAAAAATGTGATCTGATTCTGTAAGGACGCTCTTCACGAAGCTTTCAAGAGCAGCGAAGGGCCAGGTACGTGGAAGGATGGAGAAGTGAAATGGTTCTGAAGGGAGCAGTTGGAGGGACAGATGGTCAGTGTGTGAGGAGGTGATGTGCCGCACCTTCCTGCCTATACTCCCTCTATGTATGCCTGTCCTTGCATCACTATACCCACTGCCTAATCCCATGCCTCACTAATTATCCATCTGCTCCAACATCCCCCCCCTCCCCCCAACCCCCAGCACCATCTTGTGACCTGCAGTATTCAAAGACTACAGCAGGCTCGATTCAGTGCCCAACGGCTTGGGCATGCTCACCAGGTTGAAGCACTTGGAACTGATTGTCTGTGAGAAGCCCACAGGTGACCCATGTCATTTGCCCAGCTCTCTTGGGCAGGCCGCCCCTCACACACATCTCCATGCTGGTAATCCGCTGTAGCTGCATGGGCTACCACTTTATCTGTGTTATATTCGTCATGTACAGTATATGCTTCGAACCTCTATCCTCTTGGCAACACGGTGTATTTAGAGACCAGACACTGTTACTGATTGTTCATTACATTCTCAGTACCTCGTACGTACATTCTCAGTACCGTATGTCAGAACATGGAAGCAGAAACAATATAACGTACTGTATGTGATGAGTGTGAAACAGAAGAGCCACACAAGACAACACTGAGCTTAGGATGCTTGGTAGACAGTTTACCTATTCGGGCCCCTCAACCTTAGATTCCCAAAAGATTCCACAACATACTCTGGCGTATCTTTAAGCATCTTGCAACGAGTTACCTCGAACTGCTTTAGCCTGGTAAGACTGTCCAGCCTCCTAGATAATGCACGAATGTCACATTGGTCAATCCTCAGACATTCAAGGTTCACGAGCGCTGAGACAGACTCCGGGAGCTTCTTGATTCCCAGGCAGCGCTGGATGTTCAACTCTCGCAGGTTTGTCAGCTCTCCCGGGTCCTCTGGCAGCTCAGCTCTCTTGCACAGGGCGAGTTCCATCCTTGTGAGTGAAACCAATCAGGCGAGAGAAGACAGAAGCAGCTGCTCTTGACCCATGAGAGAGAGCAAGTGTAGGTTGGTCAGCCCCCCGATCTCCTCTGAAATTGTCAACCGCGACGAATCCACGATGCATAGGGCTTTGAGCGATGTGAGAGCAGAAAAGCCTGGTGGCAGTTCTTGCAGCTCGCTGCAGCTGACCACAATCAGCACCTGCAGGGACTTGAGCCGGCACAAGGAGGCAGGGAGGTGGGCAAGCGCCAGGCGGTCCAGCACCAACGTCTTCAAGACGGGCAGATCTCCAAAATCTCCAGATAACTCGAGCAAATTGAAATTAGAGATTCTCAGACGCAGCAAGCAGGTGAGGGAAGTGAAGTGCTCGGGACGCTGATAGAAGGAGCAATCTTCGACTCTCAGCTCCTGGAGACACGGCATCAGCTCCCCAATGTCATCCGTGATTTCACTGCACAGGGAGATCCGCAGGTGATTCAGGCGGGAGCAGACAGATCCTGGCGGAAACAAGAAGTGAATATCCGGACATGGTATATCCAGAGACTCGAGGGATGACAACTGCGCGAAGGAGAAGGCACCAGGAGGCTGGACTCTGGAATTTCCACCAACTTTATGGGTAAACGAAAGGCTGGTGAGGTTTGGAAAGTGAGAAAGACTCGAAAGCTTTTGAGATTCCGAGGATAAGTGATGGGTGAAACGAGGTACAAGAGCTGAAACGCTGGTTAGAGAAAGTGATCGCAGCCGCACCAACTGAAAAAAAGAAGGCGGCAGGTAAAACGAGCTTGGCAGGAAGTCCAACGTCAGATGCTGCAGCTGAGTGCTGCGACGGAAGAAACTATCCACTTAACCGGTAGTCGATGTTGACGGCCCAGACGTAGCGCGTGTTGGCGTCTATGAACGTCATGGTATTTTGTTCGCCGTCGAGTCGCTGTAGATTATTTCGAGCGGCTTGTATCATTCGTAGCCCGGAGGTAAGTCTGGGAAGGGCTTGTGGGTGAGCGATGCGGTCGGGCAGATGATGCACGGCGGGTCGTCCGATGTTGCTTTAAGCGTGTCGCCACCGGGTAGAAGGAGTCCGCTTGTGTAAAAAACGGTAGCCTCGATTGAATTCTTGAGTCTGGCGTGTGATGGGTGTCTGAGTCGCTGGTGCCAGATTTCGGGAGTAGCGCGGTAGCCGACCGTTCTCTTGTAATACCTGTTTCTCCCCTCTTCCTCTTACTGTGGTGTTGCAGGTCTTTTGCCGGCGGCGGCGCGTACGTCAGCGGTGAAGGCTTGGGTGGACGCTTGTTCCAGGTCGACCTTGGAGATCCCGACGATGTCGTTCGTATCGGCGACATGAATAGAGTCGTCGGTAACTGGCAGGAGCTGTCGAGTCGGAGGCGGTGTTGCTTCTGGCCACTCGGAGGCAGGGAGTCCCTCCATTGGAATTCAATGGTAGAGGTACTCGTCGCCGGTGATTGAGATCAGTTGAGGTCCTGCTTTTTCTGGCGTCGGCTCCTCGGTTGGTTCAAGTAGTTCTGCTGCTTCACCAAAATCGTATATCATTCCTTCTGAGTCCTCCTGTTCTTCCTCTACAGGTTCGTAGGGGTATTGATCCGGAAGAGGAGGTCCGCCTCAGCTGGTGCCCCGCGTCGCCCAATATGGTCAGTTTCCGCCACGGCTTCAGGAAGAAGTGTCGGAGCTTCGGGATAAGGGCGTGGTGGTCCCTAGCCACTTTGAGAAGTTGACGCTCCCCAACCGCCTCCAGGGGGAACTCCCGGTGTTCGTGTTTCTGGCACTCCCCAGGCGCCAGTGGTGACACCGGTGTTGGTCCATCATGGGGCGGTGCCTCCTGTGCTTCCCCATCCTCTTATGTTGTTATGTGCCGCAGTTGCTGACACACCGCTGTCTAGCTATTCTTCCATTGATGGAGGTCCGGTGTCGCCGGGGGCGGAGGTTGAGGCTGTTGGGAGAGCAAGGGTGGGGCAGAGGCCATCTAGTCCAGGGCGCTCAAGATCGGTCTCTTCGGGGTGCGACCAAGTTGGTGTTTCCATGGGCGTTGTTTTCAGCAGAAGCATTCTGTCGGAATCACCGTCGTTTCCCTGCTACTCGAGGTTTAAGACGAAGACTCCGTCTTCGTCGACCGCTTTCCCGATGTAAGTCCTTTTATAAAATAGCTCGATGCATTTCTTTTGGCTGTTGTTTTGAATATCAACTCCGCACTTCATGAGTTGTGCTGCAGAGAGGAGGTTGAACTGAAGATCGGCGACGACCAGGACATCTCCGATGTGGATAGTGAAGTTGGCGCTCGATTGTTGTTAGCGACGGTGATTTCGCACGGTCATCGCATGCGCTTCGAGTTGCTAATGAATGTCATTGACCCTACCATGTGTTGTACGCAGCAGCTATCACGATACCACTTATTGAAGTTTTCGCGGCTCGCACGATGCTGGCGATCTTCGGAGTAATGATGCAGTCGAGGTCAACATAGAAGCCCGAGACGTCATTCTCGTGGGTTGCGGAAAACCCGGGAGGAGACTCAGGCGTGCTTGGAGGCAACTCGTAATCAGGTGGGAGAGTCGTCGGCCTGTCGCTCCAGAGTCCAATTGTAGGGTCGTTGTTCGGGCTTGGTGCGATGGGTACGATTGGTGTGATTATCGGGAATTGAACTCCGTCGTAATAGCGAATGCATCTGCGATCGCCATGCAGCTTAAAACTGTCCCTTTTCCCCTGTCCCTGGCAGATATGCGCACAGGAGCAAGCGAGGTACTTGCGACGGCAGGTGGCCATATGGTCACTGTTGCAGCTGGTGTTGAAGGAGGAGCTGACTGTTAGTGCTGTTGACCGGGTGAGTTGTTGTTGCGCCTTTTGATAGCAGCCTTTCGCTTGAAGCATCGATCCATAATGTGACCCGGTTTCTTGCAGTACTTGTAGAAGTACCCCTTCTTTTCGTGTGAATCCCCTTCAGTTGCGCCAGCGTAGAACACCATTTTTTCCCTTTTGCCGTTTCTCTCACTATACAGGT